ATGGTAGGGTATGGCCGTGTTTGAGGATTTGGGTACTAGAAAATGATGGGTTCTACGTCTTTACAGTGTATGAAGAGCGAAGATATACAAGCTCAGGCTCAGGTCTGATTGGCATCTGACAGACAGCTTTAGTGAAATCATGGCACCACTATGGCACGATTTCCATGGCCCGTCTGGCATGATACAGTATATGTCACTGCCATTCACTGCCCATCCTGATCATCCTCAAAGCAAGGTGGCACCACTAGAAAGCAGGATCCGCCAAAGAATGACGATCACACGTCAAGGCACCAGGGCATTCACTAGAAAATGCCGTGCGCTGGTTCAAACAAAAGATGCGTCGGTCACAGGTCTAGGAGGTGTGATCAACATTTGGGGTCATTTTCTAGTGATTCACTAGGTTATGCTGATCCAGGTCTATGAAGCTGCGTTCCTCATTTTCTAGGAAGCTGACATTCATCATTCCCCAGGAGATCACTAAAGAATGGGGAGGTCTGACCCCTCCATGTGATTAACAGGGGGGGATCCCCGCAGCATTTATTCAGAAAACGCTCCATTCACTACGAATGGCCACCGCTCAGACCATCCCGATGCGTCTTCCGGAGGTGGTGGAGCGCCCTGCGAAGACGAAGGAGTTGCTGGTGGACGTCGAGGGTAGCGTTTGGGTGCTGTGCTGAGTGGGTCGGTTTGTTCGGAGCATCACCGACCCTTTGGCCACCCTGAGGGAGAACCGAAAGAGATCATGTTGGTGCAGGCTTCCGTGCTGAGTCTAAAAGACTGCTTGGGAGCACTTGGGAGTGATTTGAACATGGTCCATTGTGGCCAGTGATCTTTCTCTCCACTACAAACAAGGAACTTTCCGTCTTGCCACGTTCCAAATCTGAAGGTCGTGGATGATGACCGCGATAGTCGGTTGGGCCTCAAGAAGCTCTTGGAAGTAAACTCAAAGGCCTGGCCTGGGCGGGAGCACACCCCAAACACTTGCATTGACCCTGAGCCAAATCAGGCTTATATCAGGCTTATAAACCCTTTTTCAGCCTGAGCATGACAGGGTGGCTTTCGGGTGTGTGCTCTCCTTGCACGTGAGCAACCCCGAGATACTGGTACAGTGTCTCCAAGTAGTTGCAGCATTGCCGTTTGCCAACACATTCCAGCGCCAGCCAGGAATCCAGTCTTGATGAGCTCGCGCACTGACGCACTGAAGAAACCCATCGTTCTCCCGCACACCGAAAGCAGCTCGAACAGCTGAACAGCGGTGCCCGGGGCACCCCTTCAATGAACCAGTTTGGAAGGGACCGGACTCGGAAGTTGTGCGGAACTCTTGGGACTCTTGGGTGTTTATTTAAAAGGGGACACTCGGAGACACCCAGCCTATGGGTAGACTGTTCCATGTTCCTTCTTCCAGGGGAGTCGCCTTTAATGCACACCCATGTTGTGGAATGCTTCTCATGGAAGCGCTTGTTCATGCGCCAGGTGAATGTCGTTGAATGCGATAGCAGTGCGGCATGCCCAGCTGCGTTCTTGAGAGCAGGGGATCTACACTGGGGTCGAAATTTCACGGTAAAATGATGTAGTATAACGTAGTGTGTCTATTTGTATGTGTATTGTATGTGTATTACTTTGTTTGAGGTGGCTATAGGGTCTAGGATTTCTTTTTCCAGGATCACATTTGGAAGGATCCAGATTCCTAGAATAGAACAGTTTCTTGGGCAGAAAATGATGCTGATTGCTTTGCATCCGAACTCTGGGCCATCCACGTCACCATTTCAGGGAGTGTATGGGTAGAAACGCCTCGCGCCATCCGCTTCCTGTAGAGCTGTAGAGCTTCTTCAGGGAGCAAGAGTATTCTACCCCGCTGCGCAGGTTCCTCAGGAGTCCTCCCCTCGTGATGATGAGCACCCTGCGGGCTTGAAGCAAATGGTTTTACGAGGAATTCATTGGATACTACCGGTGCATGTTTTAGTTATCTATGTTGCAGTGTTTTACGGGCAGTGTTTTTGCGCAGGCATTCTTCCACTCACTTAAGCGTTCATAACACTACTTAGGCGCTCTTGCCTGTTACTTAGGTGTTCCTACCTGTTACCACCTTCAAGGAACTATTGTAGCCTTTGGGGGGCAGTGAGTGACATGAATTTAGAATTCAAATGCTTTCAACCGGGCACTTGCGGCTAGCGTTTGTTGTCCTTTTGCATGTAAGAATGCATGGGATTGATTGTGCCTTTGTGTTTTTGACCCTCGAGTTTGCAGCTTAGAGGTTCGTGGTGAACACGGGTGGAGGTTTCTGCTGAAATGGGCCGAAACGAGTGCCTAACAAGGGTCTAGGCCTGGATGTATACGGGGCCTCCAATAGACTACCATACGCAGACTTAGTGGATGTTTTTTAGGTCCAGTGCTCGGATGTGAAACGCACTCGATCTGTTCTAGGCCCAGGCAAGGCTCACCGCCCACCTCGTAGGGATCTGTGGGGGTGACATCCGACGTGGGGCGGGGCACAGATAGGGTCCGGTCCCTTTGTGTGTGGGGACACCTAGGGCTGGCCCTGGGTTCATGGTTTCTGCGAGGCAACACCTGCATGACCATGGTAGATGCTGGAGAGAGGCCCAACTTGATCATTATGGAGCCTTTGGTGGAGAGCGATCCTGGGGGGGGGGGCAGCGATCCGGGCGTTTTGAGGTGGGACTCACAATTAAGAGAGAGATTTGAAGGGTCAGATGGTCGAATGGGATGTCACGTAGGGTCCGTCGAACGCAAGTCGGCACCCGATATGGCCGGGCTATCAAAAAGAGAATATATATATATATTTAAAATATCAAAAGGATTCAAAAGGTTAAAAAGACAATTAATTAGTATCAAAAAGAAAATATCCTTTCACAAAGAGCTGCGCCTGCCACTGCGAACTGCCATGGCAGCGCTGCGCGCTGTGAATCTGGATGTGCAGATTTCGTGGCAGGCGCAGCACTTTGAGCGCCTTCAGTAGCAGATTTCGTGGCAGGAGCGGCACTTGGCGCACTGGAAGTGCAGATTTCGTGGCAAGCACAGCACTTTGAGCACCTCCAGTGGCAGGTTTTGTGGCAGGAGCGGCGCTTTGCGCACTGGAACTGCAGATTTCGTTGCAGGCGCAGCACCTCCAGTGGCAGGTGCAGATTTCGTGGCAGGCGCGGTCGCTCACAAAACAAAGGCTTGCTACGTTGGAATGACAACTTCTTCCTCTAAATTTTACCTCGCAAGGCTAACAAAGGTCTGCAACGTTGGAATGGCTCCTTCTTCTTCTAAATTTACCCTCAAGTGGTCGACAAAAGGTTTGCTACCTTGGAATGGCACCTGCTTCAGTGCTTCAGAGGATGTATGACCAGATTTCCAAATCACCTTGAACGCGTCTTGCCTCGAACATGCAGACCCAAGGACCCGAAGACCAAGGGACCAGAGGACCAAAAGCTAGAGGACCAAGGGACCAGGGACCAAGGGACCAGGCGACCAAGGGACCAGAGGACCACAGGACCAAGGGACCAGAGGACCAAGGGACCAGGGGGAACAAGGGACCAGGGGACCAAGGGACCAGGACAAAGGGAGCAAAGGACCAAGCGATCAGGGAACCAGCAGGCCAGGACCAAAGGAGTAGAGGGAATTTTCTTTTTGATACGAATTAATGTTTTTTTGATAGGAAGTAATCTTTTATTGATAGGAATCAATTTTCTTTTTGATAGGCATCCCACCCGATATGGGTGACCCATTTCATTTGCCCACCTGATTAAGTTGAAGCTGGCCATTCTAAAGAAAACCAGGTGCTACCCACCACCCTCCTCCATGATTCAATTGGTTTCTTTGGATGCTGCGCATTGATGGAGAAGGACCAACATGTGGATTCCACCCTGATCCTCCACCGTCCAGTGCTTTTCACGTGTTTACACCGTTAGGTGTCGTTGATGGTTTTTTCTACTTCGAATGGTGTAGGCAGATTCAGATGTCGTGTCGCCTTTCCCATTGAAAGCCAGTTCAGGGTCCGGGCGAGCGAACGTTGGAAACCGCGACATCCCGTTTCCCATTTGGTGCAAACTGGTGTCAATAAATGCCACCAGACCCTGCTGCGCTTGCTTTGCCCGGGAGTTTCTAAGCCAAAGCCATGCCTCGCCTGGGTGGGCATCGCTGCATTTGGTGCAAGCTGGAAAGCACATGGAAACACCATCCATCACAATGCACATGTGAAGCCTTGGGTGGGGGCCCGGTGCTTCACTCTCGGTCCGAGGATACTGAGGCCTCGCAAAGCATGCAGGCGCCGTTGCGTTTCTCGAACGGCGCTCACAGAACCACGCATGCCTTACGGTACAGTCATATACATTATATTTATATATCGAGATATTGCATATTATATACATAAATTACAATATAGTATAATATAACTGTGCGTCATTCACAGTCATCCAGGGGACAGCCCAAAGAGTTTTGGAGAGATGGTGGGAAACCGGCAATGTTACTGTATATCATGGATAAACAACACATGTTGTGTGTTTTTTTGATATTATTTGAACTGGTACCACTCGATTGACCGATTGACTCGGCCCTCAGAAGGCGGCCCAGGCTGCTCTTTCGTAATAAGCTCCGTCATGGCAGCTAGAGGAAGCGAACTCATCTCAGGATCAGGACAAAAAATGTTTCCAAGATGGATCTGCGACTTTGCAACCAGTGTTTTTTCCCTTTTTGGGCATTTGCCAGGCCATGGGTTGCTTTTGGTTGTAGTGACTACTTACCGGGGGCCGGCATGCCAGCCAGTCTGACAGATTGCTTCTGTTGGGTTGAGCGGCCATGCAGCGACATGCAATCTAATCGCCCAAAGGATTCTTTTTGCTAGACAAATGTTTGTCAAACACATGGTTAGATGGATCCAGGTATGGATCCTTAGCACCATCCCTTGGGTGCTGCGGCTAGAGCCCCTATGCATGCGCCCGGCTTTTGGCTTCCTGTGTCGTTCAACCTGTTCGCCTTTTGGCTCAGCGAACAACGCCATGGAGGATGACGTTCCCGCGGACGCGGGAGGAGATGACGTGCACGGCCTGGAGGTGTTGCCTCCGTTGCGGTATCCCTTGCGAGAAGCCCTGCTCTCCTTGAACGACTCGGTGGGGACTCCCGGGACGAGAGACTCTCGGTTAGGCATCCTTGGGTCATCACCGAGGGATTGACTGAGGCCAATAAGTTGCCAATAAGACCAGATCCGAGGGATTGATGAGACACATGGACACACGTTATTTGTTTTTCAGTCTTTGAGTGCTATATATTATAGGATGAGTCAAAACATGTAGCCCGGGTCCACCATGTAGCTTGACCTTACAGGTAGGTCAACCAAGTATCGTTGGTAGGTCAACCAACGAGTCCACTGGAAGCTAACCCCAGATGGTCTCTTGTCCTGTCCGGGTAATATTCAAATCTCGATTAAGCTAGATACTCCACGCGATATCCGAAAATGGTTACGTCGGGCGTGGACTGAAGTCGTCTTTCGGCAAACTCAGCACCGAAAAGGAGTCACCAACCTGCCTTTTGACAGTCTGTTCCAACGAGTTCTGAGTCGACTTACCTCAACGGAAATTAAAATTCTCGCCAAGGACATCACTGGAGGTTACCAGGTTGGGGCGGTTCAGGCGCAGTGGTCTAGTGCAACTGACGGCAAATGCCCCGACTGTGGCCAAATGGACACTCATGCTCACCGACAACTAGAATGCCCAGATTTTGATCCCATCAGGGCGCTGCATCCAGCTGCCGCACAGATCCTTCAAGCCAATCCATATATGTTGCACTTCCTCCAACATGAATCTGTTCATCGTCTTAGATTCCTGCTTTCCCAACGTGGCCAGACAGCCTGCCCCGCCACCATCCAGACGGCTGCCGAATGCATTTTCCTTTATACAGATGGGTCGGCCGACACTCCTACTTTAACAGAATTCCAGAGAGCAGCATGGTCCGTTGTCCAATATGACCCCGCCAGTGACTCTCTTCCTTATCGTACCGTTTTGGTTCAGCATGTTCAGGGACGCCAGACAATTTCTCGGGCTGATTTAGCAGCCATTGCATGGATAATTCAAGAATGTCATCAAGCCGCAGTATCCCATCAAGTTGTAATTACAACAGATTCCCAGTATGCCATCAATGCCATCCACAACATAACGCAAGCCTCAAGTCCTCTTGTTCCACATACAACTGCACACGCCGACTATCTCAAGCCACAACCCGACTGGCAGAAATTGACATTGTAGGTAATGATTTTGCCGACATTGCTGCCGTCAAGGCCCGAAAAACAGATCATCCCGACAATCACCAACTTTTTGCCCGAATTGAGGCATGGAATCAGTCACAAATTTACCAAACAGGGAAGGTGCTGCGATACCTTCTTGATCTTAATTTAGCCCATGTCCAACGTAAAGAGCAGGCAAAGTCCAGGGATGCACAAAATCAAGATGATGACCCTGATCAGAATTGGGGTACAATTCATCTCGCCCGTGCTCATCATCAGGTGGTAAATCCTGTAGTCATTTCTCAACCTGATATACATCCACACGTATTCACTGCATGCCTATGGGGGGCTGACTATGCAAAACTAGTCTTAAAATTTTTCCTGTCCCTGCGATGGCCAGACCCAGACAGTGATCATGACGCAGTCACGCGATCCGGCATCACATGGCATGAACTTGCCATTGCGTTCATTCTACAGACCGGACTTCAGTTCCCGTGTTGGATTAAACCGCCCAATAGATCCAGAGCTCGACCCCATCACTTTCAGGCACCTGAAGTTTTGGCACTCCCGGCCAAACTGCGATCACTCCGTGAACAGGCGGATGCACTCCGCATCCTCATTCAGTATCTTCAAGGCTTTTGCCATACACAGCTGTATCCGAAGTTTCATAAGACAGCTGCCAGTAGTCTGGTCCAGGTCGGTTGGGGTAGGACTTATACTGGAGGTTTCCCTCTGCGTCCACAATTCATTAATTCAGATGCCACACAAAAAACACTGCAGCAGTATGCAAAGGACTTAGGAATCAAACCGCCATATCACCCATTGGGTCTTGTTCCTATGCAGTTATGCCATGTCACTCTGGTAGTTGATACCGTGGTTAATCTCGATTACTCCCAGTGCTACCACTTTCGCAAGAAGCTAAGGGAGGTTTGGAACAAAGGCGGCAACCTTGATTCCTTGTCCCCGCCGGTGCCGCATAATTAAATAAGTAATTCAGGGGCCATCGTCTCGACATTACATCCACTTGGGGTTGCGCGGATATTCGGTCTCACTTAGCTAGAGGTGTTTTGCGTACGATGTTGTGCAGTTTTTGGTAGGTATGGGTACCAATCCCATACACCTTCTGAATTTCACCAACTCCCCGGTACCCATCAATACGATGAAGGGCTGTGGGAAGCAATCTGGATTGATGCGCAAGTTTCGTCGGTAGGTCAACCAAGGTCTCCTGGTGGAGGTACTGCTGTTGAGCCATACCGTCTTTGAGCCAGGCCTTTTCCTTAACTTGACGATCCTACTGTTTTCTTCGGTTTTCCTTTTCAGTTCGGTCGGAGGGTGTTTGCTTTGGTCTCCCTTTTTCTCCCGCCCATCATGCGGCGTCTGACTGTGAAGCCCAAGAGGTTCCACCCGTTGGTCGAGGCTTGCGGCCCCCGCCTGAACATCTCATATCGTGTCCGAAAAAGGGGGGGTTCTTCATCTTCCATCATGAATCAGTTGGGGAACTCGGAACTCATGTCACTGGAACTCAGATCCCTCGGATCGTCTTCTCTCGGATCGTCTTCTGGGTCTTCTGGGTTTCGTCCTCGGTAGGTGCATGGGCTGCCCTCCGTCCGGACGGCCTGCGCCGAGTCGGCGCAGTTGGCCTCACCAGGGCCTTACAAGGCCGAGAGGGAACATGAGTGGCAAGGAACGGAACACGGAACACCCCCCGCTTGAGAGGAGGGCGCTTGACGTTGGGCACGTTGGATTCGTTGAGCAAATTCAGATTCTCTTCACCTTTGTGGACACTTAGTGGCGTTTCGATCACCGCCTGACTTAGAAAGGCCGACTGCCAAGCTGGTCGAGGGGTCGATGGAGAGTTCGGCGTCGCATTCTGGAAAGAGCTCTGGAATCTCATCCGATCTCACACCAAAATGTAGACCTGATTGATGAACAACCCCCCCAGACATGGATTGTTCAGCCCTGGGAGGTGAACAGATGTTGAAATTTGGAGTCTACTATGTAGGACGTAGTCTTCTGTGCACACCTGCGGGAACGGAGACGCCGCGGCGCCGTGGCCAGGTGGGTAGTACCGAGAAGAGCCGCGCCTTGAAGAAGCCGCTTGGGCACAGGTCCACACCTCTTGTGCTGTGCTGGACCCACACCGTGCTGAGACCCCGTAGTTGTTTTGAGAGAGCCAGGTTCATCAAGGTTTCCTTATAGTGACGAAAGAGTGCGTGCTGCACTGTCTTCCAATGTGTGCGATCGTCGTGTAAGTGATATAGCAGTTTTACAGTTATACTTACAGTCAGTGTGTAGAAAAAAAGTATTTTATATATATACATATATAGTTTGAGAACTTTCCTTGTAGCCCTTTGTGGGGGGGGCCAACCTGTTGTCATGCGGTGTGATGGACACAAGGCCACTCCGCAGGGTTGGGCGACTCTCCGCCGTGTCCCCTTGTGCCCCCCCGCGCTGGCCACTTTAGATACTTTAGATCCCTTCCTTTTCCATTTCAACTCCACCATTTCCACCACCTCATCCACTCCCTTTCCCCCTTCGTTTCAATTCATTCCAAAGCAATCCCGCGGCACTCCCACCGGCACCGTCCGGGCGGCCCGTCCCGAGGTTGGGCCGACTGAAGCGCCGCGGGGAGCACCTGGGCCGCGGCTATGCGGAGGAGCGACCGCTGTTGACGCCGCGGCCGCCGGCGGACGAGGAGCGACCCAAGTCGGTGCCCAAGACGGTGCCCTCAGCGGTGAGCCGGCAGAGGCTGGAGATGCAGCTTGGATGCCTAATGTGAGGCATTGTTTAAAGATAGGGGCCATGGATGGCTTTGAGGAGGATGTTTTTAAGTTGGAAGTGAACAATAAGATGGAAGGTGGTCGTGGTAGTGAAGTGGCCATAGGAGTGAGGCGTATGTATTGTTGTTGTAGCACTGCATGGAGGAGAACAACACATGACAAAATAACACAACATAACACAACTACTTTAGAGAATGCTACAGATATTCACAGATTGTATTCCGCATGGTCCTTGGTATTTCTGCTGTTGCTACTGACTTGCACGTAATTACATGACTCTTTCTCCACTCATGGAATTAGATGTCCTGACCTGGAAGACCATGAAGTCCTCTACAAACCATTAACAAGGCCACCACTTCCAAGTTTGTTGGTGGTTCGAGATCTTTTTCTTGGTCAACCTATACTGAACTTGTGGATGATTGATCCCCACTGACGAATATGTTTCAAATGAGTTGAAGCCACCAACCAGATTTGCACAACCAAGTCGTTTGTCGGTCACTCAACGTCGCTTTGTTGGATGCGGCCCCCAGGATCCGCTCCACACAGCACACAGCAGTGGAGACCTGGGAGCTGCACGCCTCGCAGAGCGCACCGGAGCTGCTGGCCATCACCGGGTTTTTGTGCACACATGTGCACACATGGTTCGAGTTGCAGAGGATTCTAGGTAGGGCGGGCCCAAGCATGTTGGTCAACTTGGTGTGAGAAACGCAAGTCATTTGCACATGACACGGCTGCTGAAACACCAGGTTGACAGCTGATGATGGTGGTCAGTGCGCACCGAAACTAATTCGAGGCATAGAAATCTTACAGGTTTGACATTGGCCCCTGGCGTGCAAAACTCGTTTGATCAGTGTGTTCGGCGGCATTTAGTTCTACGTAATCATTCAGGGGTGTGGTAGCAGTGTAATATACTTATAGCTACGCACACAATCCAAGTTCATCATGTGGATGTTTATAGGCTTCGTGTTCCGTTGTTTCCATGTCACGAAAGGTAGCTTGAGCTACCCGAGTTCTCCTTGCTTTAGCACAAATGTATTACAATCTGGAGTTGGGATTGTGCATTGAATTTGGTCCTGCAAGAGATGATTCTGTTCGTCGGGGGGGGGGCCCCCCCCGGATCAAATCCCCCCTGCGCCGGTTCACGCCGTCATGGACTTCTACCAGGGTTACTTGTGATTGCCTGCTACCTTTCGTTCACTCCCTCCTCTCTCAAGTCGCTCGCTGCTCGCTCCCACCTGTTTCGATGTCGCCCCAATCAGCCGACCTCCCCGCTTTGGGCGGTGCCCTCGAGGCTGACAGGCTCCTCGTGGATGTGCCGCAGCTCCGTTGGATCGCCCAGACCCCACGTCCGGTCCACTTGGACCAGTGCCGCGCGGGCAGCTCTGGGGCATGGCCGGCGCCATGCCACGCGGCCGCGCGGGGAAGGAGCGACTGGCGGAGGTGCCGCGCAAGGGTTTAGGCAGGTTGAGACTCAAGCTCCAGATGAATCATGAGGATTCAAGGAGGGCTGACTTCAATTGCAGTCCTTCTGCTGAGAATGGGTGGGGCTACATGGAGCTACCACATCTGTCACACTGTCATGGCTCCATCCTTCAAGAGGTTGTTCAGGCATATAAGCTTCGGCCGGCCCCTCCCACTGCTTCTGGCACCATGGGAGACTATCCTCAGCCAGCAGCAGTTGACAATTCGGCTGCTAAGCAAATCCTGAGCTTGTTCTCTTGCATGGACCGCGCAGGCACAGACATGCGTGGCCTCAATACGATCAGCCGCATTGGGGTGCCGTTCCAACATGTCTACTTCCCAGTTTGCCTTCTCAATCAGGTTCAGGCCATGCTCACTACAGTATAGCAGCAATGTCCGAATGTCATTGTCCTTGTCAATTGGCCTAAACTTGGTAAAGTGAATGGCCTTCCAGCCTTTCGAAGCAGACATGTGCCAACTCACCAGGTTTTCGCAAGGACAGTTGGACATCTATTCTGCAGCAACTCTTCAGGAGCAACTTTGCATCAGGCTTGCCCTGTAAGAAGAGACCATACTACAGTGTCCGTGGGACTCTGGATGCAAGAAAACCTGGACACCCATGCTAAAGTGGAGGAGGACCAGGATGTCCCGCTGTACCTCAAGGACTTTACAGGCAAACGGATAGTACATGCATCCTCAGAATATGGAGACTGAAGAGAAACGTCTGGAAGACCTGGTTTTCCAGCAAGGTTCATCAACCAACCACTCCAGTCACCTGGGGCTTGTCGGTTTTGTGCCTCCAGGAGACGCATATGAGGCTCCTCCAGCAGGCTGGCTTGGGCAGGTGAAGGAGGAAGGCCAACGGCCTGGAGACCCGAAAGATATTCTGAATGAGACTGTGCCTGAAGCACCACCCAAGCGGTTTCTAGCCGCTAGCCCCCTGACATCCTTTGATTACGTATGTCCATGTCCCATCATGTTCCATCCAATAACCACCCTTTGGTGGGTGGGGTGGTGCAGGAACATGGATTTATTTTGTCTTTGGGGGCATGTTGGTCAAAAAGCTGGCCAGCTAGTCCTATGGCCCGCATCCTTTTGATTGATTGCGGGCCAGCCTTGCTCTGAACGTCAGCTGCCAAAACGAGGTCGTCTTTAGTAGTTCATGAAAGTTTTTCCTTTACACAGAATATATAATTTGTTCAGGGGCAGTACTAGGGGAAGCGTGTGAGTGGTATGTTAATCAGGTAGGCTGCTGCTAATGTGGTTCATAATTCTGAGTACGAGGCGTTATTTGGAAGAGAGAACAGTAATGGCAGACTTGATAGACTTGGTGTATCAAAAAGGGTTGTGTTCGAGCTTTCTACAAATATATGATATAATGATATGTTCCACTGTTTGTCTATAATATATATATATATATGTGTGTCAGACTAACCCTAGAGATTGTCCTCGGTCATACCTACTGGTGGTATCTGGTGGTTATCAATTGAATCTTTTGAGGTGATGATATGCATTGTATTTTTTGTGGTTGGTTCAAAGTTAAAGATTACTACCCAGCCAACGAGTTGGAAATGGATCACCAATACATACCACGGTGTATGAAGGTACTAGACCTCCAGCAACATCAAGTTTTTCTTGGACGGCAGTGGGAACCACATCGAATCCGTCTGGTTGATCAAGCCATCAAGCCGAGCGGAAGCCGAGCGGATCGTGCCACTCCATCCTTTAAAGCAGCACACGCACCACGTCCGGTTCTTGGGTGCCGTGCCAGCCCGGTGCTGCTGCGAGCGCCCATGGCCGCCACGAAAACATCCGAACATCCTTTAACCTTCTTGTGGATGGGTGGCCCTCTTAACATGAACGAATTATTCGTAAGAGGGCAGCCTTCCTGTTCGGAAATTCATGGGTTCATCATTTGACTTGAGATGGCCATAAACACTGCAACGGTGGTTGCTTCCACCGCAAGGTTCTAGAACAATCCAGACCCTGCGCGAGGTCCAGACATGTTTTCAGTTGGAATCTTTTCATGGACCTACTTCTGTAACTGTGAGCGGAGTTGAGTCGAGGCCTCTCCAGGGACTCTTCCTGGTGTGCAGCCTCCTTAGCTACATTCCCAAACCTGCCGAAGACAGTAAGGGAGTGGGCTTCTTGACTGCAGAGAAATCAGAAAAGCGTTAAACCACGTGTCGGCGTGGTTTCTCTTTCGCCGACCCCAGGTTCCGGGAAGACAAATGCATCCCAAAAATGCCTACATCGATGGCTTGCAAAAGGTGAGCAATAACTTGTCAGACCAAGATCAATCCAAGAAGTGAGCAAGTCATACTGCATACTGTACTGACCAATTGTTTTGTGTGGTAGGCTTTGACGATCAGAATTGCTTCAAGGGATTTCCCATGATTTCCCTGCTAGCCACTGGAATAGCATTCCACCGCCGTTTGCTGTGTGGCGCGTGTTCTTGACAAAACAATCTTGACTCCAACACGTCAGGTGCAATTCCATTCTTAGGCAATGCAGAGCAACCCCTGCAATTAGGAGGAGTCCCCACTTCCACCCACAATTCCATGACACGGGATGATTTGGGAGATCTTCTCAGCCACCCCACGGGATGATCCGCTGAGGCTGGTAGCGGCTTGGAGTTCGCCGACTGCGGCTTGGGCATCGGCAGCCGCGAGAACCCCGAGGTCGTCTTCGGGGCGTTTGGAGGGTCGTTTTGAGGGATGCCTTAGGCCAAAGTTGGGCAGTGAATCTGAAGTGAGGTCTACATGTATACATGGATGAACATGGAAGTCGTACATTTTTACACCATCTACTTTGGGAGTCCTTTGGATCCGGAACACAACCAGTGTCGATCCCACGCTGCCAGTGTCATCTAGTGTCGATCCCAGGCTGCCTCAAGTCAAGTGCTGACTTGAAAATCTCCGGTTTCTTGTAGCTGTCCTTTGGGTAGCACTGGTGCCAGCATTTGGTCGAGAACCCAAGTGTTTCATTTTTGTGGCAGCACAGCATCCAGTCAGCACGCAGCCTTTGGCGCTCACAGGTGAAGAATTTGGTTCAACGCTCCCCTGGTGACTTGGAGACGCAGATCGAACGAGAGGAATTTACATCAGCATGCGTCAGCTGCATTTGCCAACCCCGCTGGTGTCCGCTTGACTCGGGAATGGGACGGTTCGTCCCTACAAGACATGGCAAGTCAATTAAGAGATATAAGCCAGTTCAGGTCATCTGAGAGGGCCCCATGTTCTTCAGCATGGCAACCCCATGGACTGCATGGCTACCCGGGCGATCCTACGAGGGACAAACCATCCATCGATGCCGCATCCGAGGACTCGAAAGCTCATCGTATTTCAGGGTTAGAGCATGCCATCCCGATTCAGGGTGGGGGTGATTTGGGGTGGCCATCCCTATGCAGCACCTCCCTAGATCTCGAGATCTTTCCCTCATTCCCCCACCAGTCAGAACGCTCCTTCTCAGTGCGTCGTTGTTCCTCTAGTGGTGCCCTCCGGCCATTCGACCCGGTCCGTCGAACGAGGCTTCAACTATGATGTGAAGTGCGGCAACCTTGGGCTATGGACACTTGGGTATGAAACAGACGATGGTGACCGATGGTGACCGTGGAGCGATGGCACCACCCGTTCGGTGGGATGATCCTGGTGGACCCCCCCATGCTTAACATGGTCGACTCGTTTCGCTTTCGAACTATCCAAACTTGGTAGATGGTATAGAGGGTACTGTATCCTCCGCACATAGTTCTCTAAAATGCACAACAAAAGCGTGTTGGACTCATAGAGAGCGACCTATTCTACTTTGAGGAACCCTTGACAGCATTTAGGTATATGTTAATTTATGCGTTTTTTGTTGTTTTTGTTGTTGTGGTTGTGGCCATTGGTGGCCTTTCTTGACATGCCTTGCAAATCCTTGACAAGCATTCTATAGAGGAGTAGGGTACTGCAACCTGCACCTTTGTATTTTACACTTGCTAAAGATTTGGTTTGGTAGTTTTTAGGGTCAATGCGAAAAGCATCATAGATAACTTAGGTGATATGTATCTCGCAGTGTTTGCACCAACAATGTGGCTTACATTAGGTCCCACAATTTTGTTTCCACCCTCATCGCGGGAATTAATTAGCAAGGAAGTGACAAGAGAAGAAAGAATAACACAACCAAAAGCAAAGGAAACTCAGTGACATTATGGACAAAACAATCGATTTGTTGATTCACGGTCTCTTGTTTGGACTGCGCCT